GTCTCTCTCTGAGCTTCACATCACGTACTCCAAAGACGATCTGATCTTTGACCATCGAGTCCTTCAGCAGGCCAAAATTGCATGACTGAGCTTTTACTTTCAAATCTGTTAGAAAGTTATGGAAGGGTTCATGCTGGGTCTGCATTCGGGAACGAAACACGTATCTCTCATAGCATTCATTCTTCTTAGGTGAACAGTGAGCGTCAAATTTACTTAGCACAACATCCAACTTTTCTTTGTCTTCTGCTTCATCAAACACAAATGTGTTGTAGACTTCCAAAGCCTGCGCTCCTGCTATGGTCAGCAACATCGCTACCTTTCTTGGCTCCGGCTTTGTCTCCAATCCCATTGCGGCGACATATAGTTGAAAGCGTTGTTTGAAAGCACGCCAATTCTCAACAACGTTTCCCGTCAGCTTCAAGCTCTCCGGTGGTTTCAGCTCCTTGGTCGGCTCTTAGTGGACTCCTGACACCATGTTATATTCATGCTTGATAAGAACCAGACGTTGTGTAATGCTCAGACACTTTTGTTAAAGCATCTTTCCACAGGTCTGCTCACCCTGTTTGCTCACAGGTGTGTCACATAAGAATCTCCTTCTATTGTTCTGTTCTTTACATTTATACATTCACATGAACTCATGCTCGYCACCTAGTGGACATAAACATAATTCATTCAATCATGACACTGAAATGCTAAAGCTAAATGCTGRTTTAAGAGATTAACTGAAATGCCAAAGATAAATGCTAATTTAATACAYTAGCTGAAATGCTAAAGCTAAAGGCTAAATTAAGAGAGAAGTTGAAATGTAAAAGCTAARTGYTAATTWRAGAKAKYAGCTGAAATGCTAAAGCTAAATRTTAATTTAACAGATTAGCTGAATGCTAAAGCTAAGCGTGAGCATTTAGATGAATAGAACCATGGAAGTGGGTCGATGTTGACCTTCAGGTCTGGTTGAACAGAACCTGATCCTCACATCAGCCCCAGATGTTCTGAGAGAAACGGGTCGAGCTCACAGAGGAACTGGATCATCTCTGAGCTAGCAGCTGGACCTTTCTTCCTCACGGTGTCGATGACAAAGCGAGCTCTGTCTCTCCTGCTCCTCTCCTCCTCGGCTGCCTCCTTCTCAGAATCACTCAGAACTTTCCTCTCCAGCAGTTTGTCCAGCAGACACTGCAGAACAGGACCTGATACTCCATCCGTGAAGCTGATCCGTGTCTCTGACAGCTGCTCGTCAGGGGACAGGTTCTGACGGGTGGATCCACAGGACCGGTTGGGTCCAGAGGAGGACAGACAAAGACGTCTGTCCCAGACGCTGGAGGAGCTGCTGTCCTTCAGGAACAGCTTCATGTGTTTCATCAGCTGCTCATAAASCACCTGGAACGTTGGCAGGAAGTTGTCGTAGGACTCCGGGTCAAATTCGGCTTCTTTCGGCTGAACCAGAACCAAGTCATGTCCAGAACCGGTGGACAGAGTGTAGAMCTGCTGAGGCTGCAGCTTACAGTGAGGCGGGGTCTCCAGAAACGTCTCTGTTTTGTCTAACTTCTTCCTGAATCTCAGAACTTCTCCCACAGGAACATTTCTTGGCAGCAGCAGAACATTAATCAGGTGATCATCTCCAGGTTCTGCCGGGCTCTTGTAGAAGAGCAGAACCARCGCTCGGACCGGGTCAGGAGGAGAGTCTTCATCCTTCACGTTACCGAAAGCAGAGAAGCTCCTGATGTTTATGACCACATGAGTTTCTGTCATCCTCTCAGGTCTGATGAACTCCATGTCTCCATGGTCCACATGAGCCACGGACAGGTGGGCCTCTGCACCTGGCAGGTGGTCCTCTGCACCTGGCAGGTGGTCCTCTGCACCTGACAGGTGGTCCTCTGCAGCTGACAGGTGGTCCTCTGCACCTGACAGGTGGTCCTCTGCACCTGGCAGGTGGTCCTCTGCAGCTGACAGGTGGTCCTTTGCACCTGGCAGGTGGTCCTCTGCACCTGACAGGTGGTCCTCTGCACGTGGCAGGTGGTCCTCTGCACGTGGCAGGTGATCCTCTGCAGCTAACAGGTGGTCCTCTGCACCTGGCAGGTGGTCCACTGCACGTGTGGAGCGGAGCTCACAGTGAGGAAGATGAAGCTGAGCCACAGACAGCTGAGGACATGTGATGTCAAACAGAGGTCCTGCAGGCTTCTTGTGATGCTGGCTCAGGGCTCTTCTGTCCCAGGGGACTGTCCTGTAGGACACGTCTCCTGCTGCCTTCATGTCAAACACCAGGCCCGTCTCTCGGCACTGGTACAGGCCTGGACCAGAGCAGTGGAACCTGTAGACTTCACCACCTTCATCATCGTCAGTGAAGTCAGGTGTGAACTCCTGAAAGCTGCTCTGCAGCTTCNGCGGAGGGGACGAGGAAGTCCACTGTGGGTTCTACTGGAACCAGAACCTGAGGCTTGGAGGTGAGGTTGAGGGGAGACCCTCACAGCTTCACCTAACTCTTCTTCTCTGGAGCCCATCTCTGTGAGGGCCTCAGTCCATAGATCGAGACCAGTTGACCTCCTTAAGCCAGTGTAACACCCAAGACTCCCTCCCAGAGGTGGAGGAGGAGAATCATGTCTGCATATCCTGCATATCCTGGTCAAAGCAGTCCTGATCCTTCTGGCAGTACTCCTAAAACATGAAGCTGGTCTTCTTGTCTCTTGGTGTCTCTCAGCTGATGTCCTGCTGCTGACTCCAGAAGAGTCTGGGACTGTGGAGCTGGAGCAGCACAGACCTGGAGGAGGTGGAGAGACGTTTCTTCCTGCCATCATAAAACTGAACCACCTCCTGTTATTCCAGTCTTTTGTCCCAGACAAACAGTCGTCCTCTCTTTGACGTCTTCATGTTGGCTTTGGTTCTGAAAACAGACACAGTTTGATAATTCAGAGGAGAAATACAAACCCAGCTCCACAAAGTTGGGACATTGATTCTCTAAAACAAAGAAAACAAAATACAATGAATTGTAAA